AGTTAGTTCCTCATCTGTTTACTACATCTTATTTTTTATCAACAATGTCATTATAACATCCTTTTTTTTTTCTTTTTCATTTTTTATTTTGTGAAAGTTAAACACCCATTTACTTTACAGTTTTTTAAAGAATTTTATTTATGCATTTATGTATCTATTTTTGTTGGGTTTTTTTTACTTTTTTTATTTTGCAAAAGTTAAATGTCCATTTACTTCACTTATGTTTTTAGTTATTAAGAATATAATTATTCCCAATCTTTTTTTTTTTTTCTTCCATTTTTTCATCTTTATTTTACATATTGTATTGTACAGCTTCTCAATGTGTCATTGAGTTAAAGTCGTAATAAACAGAAACACAATGCCATAAAGAGGACAGTTTGGAGAGGAAAGTTTTTAAATGTGCAGATCTTGCACAGCATTTGCGTTCACATAAATATGAATGTTTCAGGCCTAAATCACATCTTTGTCATGCAAGACTGAAGATGAATCATTATGATCCTATAGTGTGGCTTTCCCTCTTTCACAACAGATGGGCAAACCCCAAAGCCGTAGCGTTTGCCAGAAAAACCCATTCGTAGTTACTGCACTGATGCTTTGCCATTCATAAACTCACTGACCTTAAGAACAATACAGTTATTTTAAACCTCTCCGGTCGCTACCCATCATTCTGTTTTGCATCTACATCCCTTCCAATGTTTTTTGGGAAGTAAACGCAAGCCTGCTCCAGAGCCAGAACCGAGCTTGTGTGGTCATATGGTGAAGACATCTGTGCCATTACGAGATCCTGGGTCAGGTAATGGAGCATGAAAGTAACAAATGATTTCTCTCTATACCATCTCAGTTATTTCTCCTTGACAATGCTGAGATGAAATTGAGATCAAATAATGCTACTCAGATCTTTCTCCTGAGAAAAGGATTTCAGTTTCAGAAGAGGTTTGCTCTGAAATCTAGGGAAGCTTAATTCCAGCATGGAATACAAAAATTAAACAAATATTAGTCACTTTTTATCTACACTTCTGACTTTTTTCCTTACAGTTCTAAGAAGAATTGAGATATAAACTTGCAATTCTGAGAAGAAAAGTCAGAATTGTGAAATATAAGTCACAGTTGACAGAAAACAAAATGTCAGAATTGTGAGGTAAAAAGTCGTAATTACAATTTTTGAAAAACTTCTGTGGCAATCAAAAGCAGAATTGTGAGATTTAAACTCAGAATTCCGAGAGTGAGATGTAAACTTATGATTATGAGTTTAGAACTTGCAATTGCGAGATATAAACTCAATTCTGAGAAGACAAATCTGATTTGTGAGATAAAAAGTTGCAATTACGTTTTGTTTTTGTTTTTTTAATTCAGCAGTGGAAACAAAAAAAACTCAGAAATCTGATAAAAAAAAAAAGTCAAAATTGCGAGTTGTAAACTTGCAATAATGAGAAAAAAGTCAGAACTGTGAGATGTAAACTCAAAATTATGTTTTTTATAACTTGCAATTCTGAGATAAAAACGTGTAATTCTGAGGAAAAAAAACATGACTTATGAGATATAAACGTGCAGTTATGAGAAAAAAGTCAGAATTGTGAGATTTAAAAAAAATATCGCAATTACGTTTGTAATATTTTTATTTGCTGACGGTAATGAACTTCCATAGAAATCAAAAGTGAGGGTAAACTCGCTAATTTCTTCAGTCCAGATCTAATCTTTCTATTGATTCATTTGTGTCTCATTGTTATTCCTCCAAAGGAATTTGAGAAGAGACACCTGAAACAAACTTGATTCTTCAATGAATCATAACTAATATTAAGAGCGCTGGAAGTGCAAACTCTGAGCAATAAAGTATGTCCTGGGTGTGGTACTGTTATTTACTTCTTTCTTGCATGATTCAGGCTTTCCTTGTTTCTTCTAACCGTCTTCATCTCTTCTCTGTGTGTGTGCAGTTGGGACGAGAGCAGCTCCATCAGCAGCGGTTTGAGTGATGGTTCTGATAACCTGAGCTCAGAGGAGCTCAACGTCAGCTCATCTCTCAACTCCCTCCCCACCACACCTGTCGGCTCGCGACGCAACTCCTCCGCCATGGTAAGCAGCTCAGAGACCAGTATTGCACAGATCACTGTTTTTGTGCACGGAGTGATTTGGGTCTTGTTCTTGAACGTTGCTTGTTTGGATTTAGTGTGACTTGGCATAAATATCTACTGGAATAGGCTAGTTAATATATTTGAGACATCATATATTTTGCACAAACAACATGATTAAATGTTCCAAATGGGGTTAGATTCAACTTTACATAGCAACTGTTGTAAAACATGCTGACAGTGGAAGTCTATGGAGCAGCACACCTCACTGCAGCTGTTAGATATGAGTGAATGTCATGCTTTTTTCTGTTTGATTTTACAAACTGAGGGATAAGAAATGTTTTTCTATGGTAGGAAAATATCCATAACTCATCTAAATAACCAGGTCAGTCATGTTCCTAGAACAGGACTCTGGTCTGTGGTTTAGATCAATCTAGATCAATCTACAACTAGAAATTTTGCAACAATTTGAATATGACGTTGGCCATATTCTGTCCATGAGTTAGAAATTTGACATGCTGTTGGTATGATTTTTTTTTTTGTAAATTCTTACTTTTATTCAGCAAGGATGCATTAAATTGATCAAAAGTGACAGTAAAGACATTTATTATGTTTCAAAAGAGTTCTATTGCAAATGAATGCTGTGCTTTTCAACATTCTATTAATCACCGAATTCTGAAAATGCAAAAAATGTCACTTTCCACAAATTATGAAGCAGCACAACTGTTTTCAACATTGATAATAATAAGAAATGTTTTTGAGCAGCAGATCAGCATATTAGAATGATTTCTGAAGGATAATGTGACACTGAAGACTGGAGTAATGATGCTGAAAATTCAGCTGCAGATCACAGCAATACATTACATGTTACAGTATATTCAACTAGAATGTAGTAATATTTAACAATATTTTCTGTTTTTACTCTATTTTGGATCGAATAAATGCAGCCTTGGTGAGCAGAAGAGATTTCTTTTAAAAAATGTATAAAATCTTACCAACCCTTTTTACTTAAAGGGATAGTTCACCCAAAAATGAAAATTCTGTCATTAATTAATTACATTAATTACTCACCCTCATGTCGTTCCAAACCCAGAACTTCATTAAAATAGTCTGTGACATCAGTGGTTCAACAGTAATGTTATGAAGCTACGAGAATTATTTTCATTTTTGGCTGAACTAATGCTTTAACTAATCATATGGATATGAGTTTTTTCTAAAATTAAATATGAAGATGCAGCCACTGCTTAAAAACTAAAACTGGATGCAGACACCAAGGCACATATTAAAATGACTTCCATATCTGTTTTTTGACATTGTTTTTCAGTTCCTTCTCTGGTAAACACTGACATAAGATAACCTCTGAGGATTTGTTTTGTGTCGAGACGAGAACGTGAGACGTCTTGACAGTTTCCGGCTCTAGTTTCAGGCTGTGGTTTGGTGTTTGTGCCATCTTCAATTTAACGTGTCTCTGGTTTGGTAGTCTGGTGGTTTTCACTAGAGTGTTATATGGATGGCCTGAACATTTCTACAGCTGATAAAAAAGTTAAACAGTTTTTGTTCGTGGGTCTATTTTTGTCACTCTAAGCTGATAATGTTATAGAAGCATCACAAATAATGATTACAAATAATGCAGCACAACCAAAGTATGAGACTCACGCATATCACATTCACCCAGAGAGCCAGTACTTCCTTTAAATCAGCTTAAAAGCCTGGCTTTGATTTTCTTGGATGAATTAAGAGCAGCTGGTTTCTATTGGGCACGTCATTTGCTCGTTTGAAGCACTTGCTATCAGTTCACCATGAACTCAAACCTTTGTTTTCCTCGTCATTAAAGACGCAAATGTTAATTCTCAGGCTCATACAGACAAAAAGGGGAACAATATGACTTGATAGACTTTCTGTTGCTATGGTAACATCATCATAGAATGGCTACATGAAATTTTGAAGATATTTTCAATGTGCCATCTGGATGGTGCAAAAAGAGAAATGTCATATTCCTGGCATTGGCAAATGCTTCCATTGCGATGTCCAACATTTTTATCCACAAATGGCATGTTATATATATATATATATATATATATATAATGCAAAGTTATTTCTAACTGAGTAATGTGCTGTTTCCCATAAGTAAAACTGTGCCCATAAAAAAGCATCACAGAATCCAAGTGTGAATGTGGGAAAGTCTTTTAGAGTAAGATTCCCCGAGCTTCATTTTTTTTCTTCTTTTTTTCTTTCTTCTCGTATTAATCTTTATGTTTTACAGCCGACACAGAGGATGGCTTTGGATTGCGGTTATTACTTTCTAGATAACAGAGATGTGCGCATCATTCATAGTGTGTTTGTGTATTTCAGTGTGTAATATGAGGCCAAGTCATAAAGTATAGAATAAAATATATAAATAAAATGCTTTGTTTGGGGTCAGTAAGGTTTTTTAATGTTTTTGAAAGAAGTCTCTTCTGCTCGCCAAGGCTGTATGCATTTGATGAAAACGCCAATGAAAACAATAATATTGTGAAATATTATTACAATTTAAAATAACTTTTTCTTTGTGAATATATATTCAAATGTAATTTATTTCTGTGATCTGCAGCTGAATTTTCAGCATCATTACTCCAGTCTTCAGTGTCACATGATCCTTAAGAAATCATTCTAATATTCTGCTGCTCAAGAAACATTTCTGATTATTATCAATGTTAAAAACAATTGAGCTGCTTCATATTTTTGTGGAAAACTATTTTTCAGGATTTATTTATGAATAGGAAGTTTAAAAGAACAGCATATATTTGAAATAGAATCTTTTGTAACATTATAAATGTCTTTACTGACACTTTGGATCAATATAATGCATCCTTACTGAATACAATTTAGAATAGTATGGTCTCTCATATTAAATCTCATCTTCTAACAGATGTCCTGTACTCTGTGTGTGTTTAGTTGCGGACGGATGCAGAGAAGCGCTCTCTGGTGGAGAGTGGACTGGCGTGGTATAGCGAGGACAGTAAGTCTTTACGGAAGGCTGATGGAGTTTATGACACAGGCAGCTTAAAATCAGAGACTTCCAGCAAGTGGAGGAAAACCCGGCTGCCGGATGGTTCTCCGCAGGACAAGACGGGAAAAGGAGAACTGAAGAAACCTCAGAGTTTCGGACAACATGGGAGCTACAAAAAGGGCCGCAATCCTCCTGTGGGCGTCACCTCACCCATCACACACACTTCGCAAAGTGTGCTAAAAGTAGCAGGTATTTCTTTTCTTTTATTTTTTAAATAATTTTTGTTTTGGTATTTTATTTTGTATTTAATTTGATTTTATATATATATATATATATATATATATATATATATATATATATGTGTGTGTGTGTGTGTGTGTGTGTGTGT